TAACACCAATACTACACTTTTAAACATTTTCTGTAGATTTTGAACCATACCCAAACAACAAAGCGTCTCATAGACCTACACAGGAAATTTTTGAAGAATATGAAATAGATTACTGGAGAAAAAACGCTCTTAATGCTATAAATGAAAGACTACACCGAAAAATTAATAAAAGTAAGTACCAAAGACCCTGATAGCAAAATTTGATTTTAAGAATCTTCTAAGAAGATAATGGAATATTCTTAGAACCTTCCCTTATTGCTAAGAATGTTCTATAGGGACTTTTAAAACATTCAATACGAGTATGTACCCTTTTAATGATTAGATTCTTAAAAGCTTCTTAAAACCTTCCTAAAAAGCATCCTAAGAACATTTTAATAATACGTTTTTGGAATGTTCTTATAAGGTTTCTTATGGAGCTTCTAGGAAGCTTTTGAGAATATTTCCAAATATGTCAGATACCCACGTTCTAATATGTTGGATTCTACATTCGTAAAATTCTTCAGGAGACGACAAATACGCCGTACTGTCATAATATGACAGTGAAATGAATTTGTGTCCCCCTAAAATTTTTTGCGACATATTAATATATATTTATTTATAAATATTAAATAAACAATTTGACCTCTAAACCATAAGTTGTATGACATTATTTCATAAAAAGTAAAATAGGAAAATTTTGTGGGATAAATCAGATTAGATTGAAGTTGAAGATGGTTAGGATTATTATACATAAAAATGTTAATTCAGAAATAAAAAATCGGTATATAAATTAATAAATATTTATTTTTAACATAAAATAAAATATCTATAGTAAAAGTATTTTTGTTATCGAATATTGTTTTAATTTGAAAAAATATTTTGGATTCTGTTTTACTTAGTATTTAATACTAATTACTAATTAGCTACATAAGTATAGGTATATACCTTTATACGTAGTTTATGGTATATTTTACTATTATATGGGTAACTGAACTAAATATGCCAAGGAATATACCTAAATGAACTTTCTATAGCAATTACTTTTTTAACATTCTAAGCATATGTTTGGAGTAGACTAATTTTTACCACTAAAACTTTGCACCTTCTAAGAACCTGCCTATAGGCCAGTAAGAATATTCTTACGGTCATGCTATATGTCTTTTAAGCATGTTCTTTAGAAGAAATATAGCATGATCTTAAGAATATTCTCACCTGAAGGTTTAAAAAACATTCTTAGACAAAACACCAAACACAAAATATTTTTTTAGATGTGGCTAAAAATGTGATACTATTTTTGGGCGATGGGATGTCCTTCCCCACCATTTCGGCCGCCAGGGTTTTTATGGGAGGGGAGGAGAAGAAATTGGCGTTTGAAAAATTCCCCCACACGGCTATATCAAAGGTAATGAAACAGCCCTCTTACAACGTTAAAAATCTAAACTAACAAACATTTTCATTTGTTTTCAAGACTTACTGCGTGGACCACCAAACCCCTGATTCAGCTTGCTCCGCCACTGCATACCTATGCGGCGTGAAAGCCAAGCTGGGGACCATAGGCGTGGGCCCAAACGTGTTCAAACAAAACTGCACCCTGATGAACAAAAAAGAGAACCACGTGGACTCCATAGCCCGCTGGTTCCAAACCAAAGGCAAAAAGACCGGCTTGGTGACCACCACGAGAGTCACCCATGCGTCGCCGGCCGCAATTTACGCCCACACCGCGGCCAGGCAGTGGGAAAGCGATACCAACGTGCTGAATTACCAGGAAGACCCAAAAGTGTGCGAGGATATCGCTCATCAGTTGGTTTATGGTGATACAGGAGGGAATTTGAACGTGGTTTTCGGAGGCGGGAGGAGGATGTTTCTGCCCAAGGAGTTCACCGATGAGGAGGGTGAAGCTGGTTACAGGTCGGATCGTGTGAATCTCGTGGAGGAGTGGAAAAACCTTCATAAAAATAGAGGAGACGTCTATGAGTACGTCTGGAACTCTACTGGTCTAGCAAACCTTGCAGATGATACAGAGTACGTCTTAGGTCTTTTCGACACCAATCATTTACCGTACAACCTGGAGAGGAACAAAACCAAAACACCCTCGCTGGTGGAGATGACTGAATCCGCCATCAGGCTCCTCCAGAAGAACAACAAGGGATTTTTTCTTTTCGTTGAAGGGGGGAAAATAGATCTGGCTCATCACGAATCCTGGGCAAGGAAAGCTTTAGACGAAACCTTAGAGTTCTCCATAGCCATACAAAAAGCTGTCGATATAACGAATGAGAAGGATACACTTATTTTGGTGACGGCTGATCATGCTCATACAATGAGTATGAGTGGTCATGCCGAAAGAGGTAGGTATAAAACATACCAAACAAATAAAAAGTCAGAGATTAAACCTTTTTTTTCAGGCAGCGATGTTTTTGGTTACGCAGGGCTTGGTACTGACGCAATACCCTACCCAATATTGAACTATGCCAATGGAGCTGGGTATAAGCCTTTCGCTGAAGATGGTAAAAGATACCTGCCCAGTAGAGAAGAATTAAGTAAGTAAAAACAAAGAAAATACACAACAAAAAAAATATATATATATTTTTACACAGAAAAACTTGACTATAGAGTTCCTTCCAACGTACCCTTACGGTTTGAGACCCATGGTGCGGACGATGTGCCCATATATGCCAGGGGGCCCATGTCCCATCTTTTTTCCGGAGTTATGGAGGAAAATGTCATTCCTCATCTATTGGGAGTAGCTGCTTGCGTCAGCAACGATATTAACTGTGATGAAGTGGATAAATTAGCTTAATTTGACCACCAAAATGTACAAATGTGTATATTTTTTTAAACTTTTTTTTTATTTAAAAATTTGTCAAATATCTAGTCTAGAATCTCAAAAAACTGTTTTTGGTATATCGACTGTGTCATTTATTATTTTATTGTTGTTGCAAAAATGGTGAATTCGCCGGGATTAATTACGAAAAATTATCAAAAACTATATATAAATACATATATTAAAATTAATCATGGCCATAGTACATAGTAGTTTAGTGTATGTAATTATTTATATTGTTTATTTTTTGGTTATTTATATATTCCAAGGAAAAATGATAAAACAATGACGGCAAAAATTGTGGTAAACCTTTTTTTAGATAAGGTAAATACCTAAATATCTTAAATGGTTTGATTTTAATATTGTGTGTATATAAATAGATAGATATATAGGTAACAAAATTATAATTAATGCAAAATAAATAAAAAGTACAAACATCAATATGGTTTTATTTTTCACACATTCCTACATATATTTTTAGTACACACAAAATTATAAATTATAAAAGTTGATTAAGCGGTTGAGTCGTAAAAATCCCACTGAATAAACAAAACAATTTTAATTTGATTTTTTTTTTGGCTTTGGACTGTAGTCCATTTAGCCAGTCACTCTTTTTGAAATGAATTAAAAACGTGAATTTAAAAGAGGTTTTTTTTGACAAATTTATAGTTTAGTATAAGTTTTTCTACTTCCACCTTTACACGTTATGGCTATCTAGTTGGCAGTTGTCAAATGTCAAACATCTGTAAAAATACAGCGACAATAATAATTTTTAGATAGTAAGGTTAGAACCGTCCAACAGATTTTATTTATTTATTTTAGATGTTTACTCAAATATCGTTTGTCAAATTTGCATAGCATTTTTGTGGTAATTTTATCATTAAAATTGCTTTAAAAAATCCCCACAAATATGGGTTGGATATTTATTTGTAGAGACCGGATGTTTAGGCACTTAAAAAAGTATAATAACAAAAACAAATATTTTTCACTTTTTTATTCTTTAATTGAAATTTGACATATTGTTTAATACTTAAAAAATGTTTTTCATGCTCTACGAAAGCTTTAAACTAGAATGCCAAAAAAAATTAAAATGTCGAGAAAAAATGCAACTCGTTTATAAACTTTTCTAGACCCTCATTCAGTTAAGAACTCGCTCGCAAGCTCGCTGGTGCCTAAATTAAATTCTTGACTAAAATGGCGTTTATCAAACTTGATACTATTTCTTAACAAGCAGAACTTTTAATACTTAAGTCGTAAAATAAATATTATTGTGTAGGTACTTCTTTTTCGTAACAACTGTATGTTAAATTGTTAAAAAGACATTCAACTATGCTGAACCGTCATTAAAACATCCTCAATCAAATATACGTAATTAAAATTAAAATACTAAATATGTATTTTAAATACAGCTGATAAAGAAAATTGGAAATAAAAAAAAATGATAAAAAATATAATAGAATCGGAGAGAATAAGTACAGTACATGTCCAAATGTTTGAATTTTGAGAAAACAAAATAAAATGTTTATTTTGTTTATTAACTTTTTTCTTTTTTAGACGTGCATTAAACTAAAAAAACTTGGACTTGGACTGTTCTTAACCTTAATAAAATTCTGACACAGAATTCTTATAATAATCTTTAGAATTTTCAATTACTGCTCTCTAAAAATAAATTAGTCTAAAATTACTAATTTAATAGTTATTAGTGGCTGGTTTTTTACTTGTATACCATGCTTAACCATGGAATATCATGGTATCCCAAAATTTAACAGCCAATTCTTATGTAAAATTGTCCCCTGAATCCGAGAATACCGTCAAAAATTATTAAAGTGAAGCAGTTTTTGAGATATAGTCAATTCCATATTAAATGGAAAATTGACTTTATCTCAAAAACTGTTCTACTTTTTTAACTTTTGACGACATTTTCGGATTCAGGGGACAATTTTACATAAGGCTTTTTCAGATGAAAATGTCAAATTTTGGACTCGTACTGTTCCTATTCTCACCGATCGAATTCAAACATTGATTTCACCTAAAATTTGTTATCCATTTGAGCATCAATGAGCATCGTGACAATGAATATTACTATTAACAAAAGCCAATGAATTATCTTGTCGTTTCAAGCCAAAAAAAAAAGTGGGAACGAGGATATAAAAATTGCGACAGTGCTCGACTTAAAGCGCGCTTCATTCATACTTTAAACATGCGACTTTTAAATTGTTTTTGTGTGCCTGTGATAATAGTGATTTTTTCAATTTGCCAGGTTAAAGGCAGACCCAACTTCGAGTCAAAAGGTAAGGTTTAAGTTACAATACAAATATCCAAACAATCAAACAATTGCATTTCATTATCCAATACAAAGACTTTTAAATAAGTAATGTGCGATTTCCTTTAGTCGCAATTTTTATCAATTATTTTAAATTTATTTAAAAAAATTTACACGTGAACTATTTTAATAGTTCTGTATTTTTTCGTTGTTTTATAATCACGTTATACTATATAAAAAAATATTTTTTATTATTTTTATTATTATGAGATAACACCAGCAGTAAATTGATAGTCACTCACTAATGCACGGGGCATTCATAATTGCTAATAATATTTCCAATAAAAGATATTAATAATTATATTTATTCAAATATGGTTTAAAAACGTCACTAATACGTGGATACTTAAAACTAATCACACCTACATTCAATTTTAAGAGGTTTCTTCAGGAGATTAAATATTTCCCTGGATTGACTAAGCCTACACTGAAATAAATACTAGGGTTAATATTTATTTGAGACGTTTTTATTTATATAATAAAGAAAATTTGTTCTAAATCAATTTTATTTACCTACTAACAATATATTCTAAAATTTTTATAAAAAAATAATTTCTTTGGGTCGAATTTATTTGTTATTAATATTTGGTTTGTGCTCTGTTTGTGCTTTTGCATTATTTTTCATATAATAAGGAAATTTGTATTGCGTATAAACTGTTACAGTGATTGTGTAAGTACATAATATTATTTTTCTATGGTGTTGAATGCTAACAAAAAAAATAGGTCCTTAAACATGGATGTTGACATGGACATAATAGATTCTAAACTTCCAACAATCTAGCTAATACTTTTAAAGGTAAGTTTATGAGTTATTAAAAATAATAATAATTGGTGCCTTGTTATTTCGTTTTCACGTGTTGAATACTAGCCTAACTAACCCATTAATAATAAATAAAGTATACTCTCCAAAAATGAATTATACAAAAATGACTACTTAATTTAATAGTATCACTTGTATCATGGTTAACCATGAAATCCCAAAATCCCAAAATTTAACAGCCAATTCGTATGTAAAATTGTCCCCTGAATCCTAAAATACCGTCAAAAATTATGAAAGTGAAGCAGTTTTTGAGATAAAGTCAATTCCATATTAAATGGAAAATTGACTATATCTCAAAAACTGTTGTACTTTTTTAATTTTTGACGACATTTTCGGATTCAGGGGACAATTTTACATAAGAATTGGCTGCTAAATTTTGGGATACCATGGTATTCCATGGTTAACCATGGTACAAGTGAAAAAGCAGCCACTAAAAACTATTAAATTAGTCATTTTTGACTAATTCATTTACTATAAATTCACTTGTTAATTATCAGTTAGATGACTTTAAAGGAAATATGTTTTTTAAATAATAAGTCTATGAATATGATTTTAAAGGTTTTAAATATTAGATTTTATAAAATATATAAATATATACTTCGCTTTCCTAATACAATCATCTTAAAAAAACAAGTATTTTATTTTAAAAATCACCCAAACTGAAGCACATTTTAACCTCACAAAGTGATTTATAATTTTAGAGAATTTTTTTATAATTTTGTAGCAAATTTTATGATTAATGTATAGTAAATAATTAAGACAGAACTGTATTTATAATAAATATGTATATATTTACAATAAGTTTTTGAGATATAGTCAATTTTCAATTTAATATGGAATTGACTATATCTCAAAAACTGCTCCTCTTTCATAATTTTTGACGATGTTTTCCGATTCAGGGGAAAATTTTACATAAGAATTGGCCGTCAAATTTTGGTATACCATGGTATTCCATGGTTAACCATGGTACAAGTGAAAAAGCAGCCACTAATAACTATTAAATTAGTCATATTTGACTAATTCATTTTTAGAGAGGAGGATATGCCATATTTATTGAAAATACATATATACATATTTATTAAAAATACAGTAATATGCTAATTATTATTATTATTATTATAAATGAAAATTAAAATGAAATATATTGATGTTTTTTAATTACTTTATAATCAATTCAATTTATTTATAATAAATAAGATGTTTGTTAGTTTAATTACAAATTCTTTTTTAATTTTTTTTTTAATAATTATTTATCTACAAATCTTAAAACAGACCCCTCACATTTAATTAATTTGGTAAGCATCTATAGGTTTTATCACAGAACAGATTCGTTTTATAAAAATAATGCAGGACTGCAACTTAAAACAAAACGTGATTTTTTTAGGTTAGTTATTTTAAAAATAACAGGTTAGTTTAATTTAGCTAATTTTGGTAATTATTAACTATAATTTGACCAAAGAGTTATAAATTACCGGTTGAGAGATGTTAGACAATATTTGTTTTATGTTTTATTGCTATTTATTTAAAAAAAATGCAATAATTATTGTTCTTAACAATGTTTTTATACCCTTGTTTGCGATAAAAATATTATTATTTAAATAAACAGCATATATAAATACATAAACACTAGATTATTTATGGTTTGTTGTATTATTTAAACCATGCATATTATGAACATAAAATAATATTTTTTGTAGTTAATCATTGAATACATTTTTAGTCATATGGCAACACTGTTTACCAAATAATTTTATAATAAAAATTTGGCCTCATTGCCTTCAAGCCATACTGTACTAATTTATAAATACATAGTCTTTGGCCATGACGTATTTATTATCATAAAATAATCCTAACTATTGATTTCTGTATAAAAACTTGTGGACCATTAAAATGCAATTAAAGAATCACAATCAAGGAGTTAACATTAATTTTGCAATGATTATTATTAGGTATATACATAGTTATAAATTATTAACGAAACGAGATAAAATAAAAAACAATTATTTTTTTAATCAAGGATTATTTGCAGAAATAATTAAAATTCAAGTCGTTTTTTACGGAAAATATTAAACGGTTTGTGGGTCAATGATAATGGTTAAAAAATGCATTACTAGTATTAAAAATCGACCTTAAATACTACAATCATTGATCTGGCAAATTAAATTTACCAAAAAAAAAGTTATAAGAAGAGTACAGTTTAATTATTCAAATAATTGACTTAACACGGTTTTTTAGATGACCATCTGATGCATTTTATCCCAAAAAGCCACATCAGAAAAAGATCCATAGAAAATGAAGCGCCCGTAGAAAAAACTACCGATTATTGGAGAACGAATGGACAATTGGCAGTAAACGAGAGAATTACAAGGAAACCTAATAAAAGTAAGAAATGCGGATACGGAGCCCGAATCTGTAGTGGTGCACACAACAGTATCAACTTAGCTTTAATCACACATTTTTAAACCAAAAAAAAAAATAAAAAAAAATAAAAAATATATTGTAAGATTTTTTACTTTTTATTTTAGACATAGCCAAAAATGTCATCCTATTCCTTGGCGATGGAATGTCGATACCTACCATCAGTGCTGCCAGAATGTATATGGGAAATGAAAATAAAAAATTACCATTCGATGAATTCCCCCATACAGGCCTTTCCATGGTAAGTACATTTTTTGTAGTTAACATTTTTCAAAGTAAAAATTCTGAGTAAGTTATTACATATAATATTATGTTGCCTTGATATCGTAGATATATTTTTTCGTTTACTCAAATATAAAAATGTTAGATTTTAAGGTTATGTTTGTACAACTCAGTTTTGTAAATTCACTACACGATTCATTACAACTCAATTTGGAAAAATTACAAAACGTTTGTTGAAATTCCCTGAGCATTTATTAAAAATTTGTTCAGTAACATTACTTTACAGATATTGTAATTTTGCTAAAAAAAATACACATATTTATTTGCAATGTTGTGCAGTTCGTATGGTTAAGACTTTTTTTTTAGACTTATTGTGTGGACTCGCAAGTGGCCGATTCTGCCTGTTCGGCCACAGCCTATTTGGGAGGAGTAAAGGCAAACATAGGCACTTTGGGAGTAAACGCTAAAGTCAAAAAGGGAGACTGTCTAGGAATGACGAACTCCAGCAACTTTGTGGACTCCATAGCGCAGTGGTCGCAAAAAAAGGGCAAGAAAACTGGACTGGTCACCACTGCCAGGGTCACCCATGCTTCCCCAGCAGGTAAAAAACAACATACGAAATCCTAACCTCCGTGAAGCTATCTTCCGTGAAGCTCTAATATTCAAAATGTATGATTTCCTAAAATTCTTGCATTAGTGTAGAACCACTTATGTAATGTTTTTACTAGACCAAGCTCTATGCAAATTTAAATTAAATTAATTTAGTATTACATTATAATTTTTGAGATATTGTTTACATTACCTACTTTAAAGTAGAACTTCAATAATAGCCTTAGGGGCACTTTTAAAAATTGCTAAAGAATAAACCCCACAGAATATATCAAATAAGCCAAGAAAACACATTAAAAAGTATTTTCACCTCTAAAATAAAGTAATAAAAACACCGGTAAAAAAGGGAGTGACAATAAAATTGTCTGGTTTAGGCTTTAAAATAAAACAGACAAATTGTAGAAAAGATTAGTAAAATTTATTATAACGCAGAGATTAAAGTTAAATTCAATTAAGTTAAATGTCTTTATCTTTACCGAACCAAAAATATATTCGAGTCAATATAACTTTCAATTAATCTTTAAATGGCCACAAAATGAAAACAAATCGGTTAAGTTCAGACACAGTTTAATCTAGTACCTAATAAAGGTTTTTGAGAAAAAAGTTTGGACCTAAATAAGAATTCAACCTTTTGTCTAAGAATTAAAACAGTACAGTTTGTAGGTTTGTACTTTGAGATGGTTAAATTAATAAAGACACATTTTTTAGTAAAACATTATTTACAATTTTATTTTACAACAAAAAGTTTGGACAAAAAATAAGAATGCAACCTTTTGTATAAGAATTAAAACAGTACAGTTTGTAGGTTTGTACATTGACATTGTTAAATTTTTAAAGACACATTTTTTAGTAAAAAATTATTTACAATTTTATTTTACAACAAAAAGTTTTGACAAAAAATAAGAATGCAACCTTTTGTCTAAGAATTAAAACAGTACAGTTTGTAGGTTGGTACTTTGACATTGTTAAATTGATAAAGACACATTTTTTAGTACAAAATTATTTACAATTTTATTTTACAACAGAAAGTTTGGACAAAAAATAAGAATGCAACCTTTTGTATAAGAATTAAAACAGTACGGTTTGTAGGTTTGTATGTTGACATTGTTAAATTGATGAAGAAACATTTTTTAGTACAAAATTATTTACAATTTTATTCTACAACAAAAAGTTAGGACAAAAAATAAGAATGCAACCTTTTGTATAAGAATTAAAACAGTACAGTTTGTACGTTGACATTGTTAAATTGATAAAGACACATTTTTAGTACAAAATTATTTACAATTTTATTTTACAACAATAAGTTTGGACAAAAAATAAGAACGCAACCTTTTGTATAAGAATTAAAACAGTGCAGTTTGTAGGTTTGTACGTTGATATTGTTAAATTGATAAAGACACATTTTTAGAAAAAAAATTATTTACAATTTTATTTTACAACAAAAAATAAGAATGCAACCGTTTGTATAAGAATTAAAACAGTACAGTTTGTAGGTTTGTACGTTGACATTGTTAAATTAATAAAGACACATAATTATTTACAATTTTATTTTACAACAAGTTTGTTGACACTCAAAATTAAAAAATTTCAGGTTTGTATGCCCATTCGTCCCACAGAGATTGGGAGGCAGACTCCAATGTATATGAATCTGAAGAAGATCCCAATATTTGTCACGACATAGCATATCAGTTGGTGAACAATGCTCCAGGTAACAATTTAAACGTTATCTTGGGTGGAGGACGCGCCCAATTCTTGCCCAACGAGACCATAGATGAGGAGGGAGTTAACGGGAATAGAACTGATGGGGTGAATTTGATACAGCAGTGGTTGGGAGATAAAGTTATGGTAGGAGACAAGGCGCAATACGTGTGGAACAAGCAGCAACTGCAAGGGATTGTGCCGGATACTGACTACGTTTTGGGGTTATTCTCCGATGACCACATGCCTTTCAATCTGGAAAGAAACGCCACTCTAACCCCGTCGCTGGAAGAAATGACCGAAACCGCCATACGACTATTGGACAACACTGAAGAAGGGTATTTTCTCTTCGTAGAAGGCGCGAGGATAGATATGGGGCACCACCAAACGCAAGCCAGGAAGGCCTTGGACGAAACGGCTGAGTTTGCGAAAGCTATCAAGAAAGCGATGGATCTAACGGATGTAGAAGACACTCTTATAGTGGTGACGTCAGATCATGCTCATACTATGTCGTATAGCGGGTACCCCGAGAGAGGTAACGACATTTTGGGTTATGCTGGGCAGGATATGGATGGTTACCTTTACACCACGCTCAACTACGCTAATGGTTTGGGATACAACATCATGGATGATTCCGGAAATAGACATGACTTCGCCAAAGATGATCTAAGTAAGTTTACATGTTTTTCCACACTGTACAAAATGTATACGAACTACTTTTTAGCTGATATTAACTATAGATACCCGGTAATCTACCCCATGGCCTATGAAACCCACGGAGGTGACGACGTTGGTATATTCGCTAGAGGCCCATGGTCCCATCTCTTCACTGGGGTGATGGAAGAAAATGTAATACCCCATCTGATGGCTTTTGCGTCCTGTGTCAGCAATGGTATTACAGCTTGTGATAGCTTAAAAGAAGCACATTAATGTGTCATTTATATTTATATATAAATACAGGGTGTCACTAAATTAGTTTTCATTTTTGCATTAAATGCAAAAATGAAAACTTTCTTAATTTGACTTGTACTATCATCCCCCCAGGATGACAATTTATTAGGTGACCCTGTATATATATATATATATATATATATGGGTGATTCTACAAAAGTTGGGCAACTTTTAACCTCATTTTGTTTGAATAGTTTTCGGAGAAAATTAAACAGTATTTTGTTATGTTTTCTAAATTTGAATGCAAGGGAAGTGAAGAGTATACCAGGGTACTAATTAAATACATAATTTATTGGAAAATATAAGATTTATTGCAACTTTGAGCATATTAAACATTAAATATCTTAAAATCAAATAATACCACACATCAGTGGCGGCTGGTGGATTTTGGGTATACCGATATCTCAATTATTAGATATGAGACCCACACCAAATTTATATGAGTTTATAATGACATTAAATAAACAAGTTCTGCGCAAGCAGAATTTAAATTGAAAAAAAGATCGAACATAAAACTGACGACACGGTACTGATAAATGGGATACAAATTTGAGATTATAATTCGGAATTAAGTATTTTACTGACATTTTTTATTAGTGGATGCTACTTATCAACAAATCACACATAGCCTTATAAAAATTACAATGAAATATATATACGTAAGAAAATAACTACTCACCACAGTACTGAAATTTTGACTGCAACTATACGTGCATTCACCGCAACTTCGCCGCTTGCTTTATTTTCAAGATGACTATCGTGCAAAGGGCAGGCTCTTTGGTAATTTTTTACCAACACTTGAGTTAAAACGAGGACTTTACGTTTAAACTTCAATATTTCGCAGGAATTTTGAATTTTAACATTGGACATAGAACTGACGGGTAAAAGTGAGTACAAAGATAATCAATTTTTTAAAAATTGCTATTATTCGAATCTATGATAAAATATGAAAAATGCATTATTTAATGTTTTATAGTTTGTAGTGAAGTTGAAAAATTTAAGATAAATTCAGGAGTTGTGACACGCCAAGGTACTGATGTTTTGAATATTTACTATGTTTTTCTACAAACTTGATTTTGAAAAAATACATTAAAATTGGGTGGACAAGTTAAAAAACCTGGTTCCTTTGTAATATACTAAAATATTTACAAAAAATATTAAAATACCTACTTTATTGACTGATGACATCAAGTTGTTCAACTTTTGTAGAATCACCCATATATATCTATTTATATAGGTATATATTTAAAGTTAGTGTATATATATGTGATTTATTTATTTCTAGTGTATAAAATAAATGTATAAATGATTTGTTTGAAGTTTTCTTATTCCCTGAACCGTAATTAACTTTTTTCGCTTCAAAGCAATTTTCTTATCTTGGTATTTTTTGTATGTGTAAAGCAGGTAAAATGAAACACACAAAGAAATTTGAAGAAAAATAGCTTTTTACTTTTTTTACTTTTATTCTGGTCTGATTAAAAGAATCAAAAAAGTGTTTTAGAGGAAAATTTATTTTTATTAAAAGTTTGGAAAGTTAGGTAGGTATTAAAAAAGTATATCATCGTTAGTCACAGTAAATTTAATACAAAACTTAAAAATAAAAAATTGTTTGTGTCTCACAGACGATAGGAATCTAGTTTTAGTTGTAGGTATACCTGTTAAAAAATTTCGTAAAATGTCTAGCTGTCTGTCGGTAAAGTAAGTTTAGTAAAATTGTAAAATATATTTTGTAATTTTCTTAAACTATTATTATTAAAATATATGTCACTTATTTTAACCCCTTAAGCGAAGAGAAAAAATACATGGTGAACCCCAGGGATCCACTCTTAGTCCACTATTATTTTTAATATACACCAACGACTTGCCTCAGTTTAAAAAACATGGCCGGGCATATTTTGTTTTCAGACGATCTAAGATAAAACTTTTCATTAATTAACCCTTTGAATGCTAATCAAAGGTGTTTATCCCTATGGGATGTACAAAATTATCATCAAACTTGATCAAACAAAAACTTTATTCTTCCACCGTCTCGAAATGTATCCGCGCATCTGAAATTTCAGTGGCAACTTACAGCTGAAAGAATTCTGCGGCGCGTTCAGTTTCAGCGTTTCAGCAGTTGCAGCTGAAAAGTCCTTCGTCGAGCAGCTTTTTCAGCGGTCGGTGCGTCCACTGAAACGCGTGCTTCAGATACAGACTGAAATGTTCCGCGGTTGCTGAAAAAATATTTTTTAGCGTTTTCATCGATGGTTTCTATTGTCAAAAATTCAATGGGTAAGAAAATATTACATAAAAAGTATTTTATTTTTTTAACTGTCGAAAAACAATTTTTAAGATGAACAAAGTTTCAAAACTTCTCGTAATCAAAAGAAACTTGAGATTTTGTGATTAAAAAAAAGATGAACTACATTGCAATAAACAAGTTATTAAAAGCTTATTTCAATTCTTGCCGTCTCATCTTTGACAAATGAGCCCAAGTTTTCCAATTACCGATTATTAGTTAAACAAAACTTTAGGTTCGTAATGAAATTACGGAAATTTTAATCCAGTTTAGAGATCCCCTTATTATAAAACAAAAAAGTTGCACAAAAATATTAAACACACAAGTATTTTTTTTAAATGGCCGATGATATCCCTACTAAACCATTACAATAAAAAAATAAAAACAAAACAAAGAAAATATCAAAGCAATATTTATTTATTCGTCTACATTAATATCATCTATGCTTGCAAAACGACGGCCCTTTAAGGTTCTCTTTATTTTTGGGAATAGGAAAAAGTCAGACAGAGGCATGTCTGGCGAATATGGAGGCTGGGGCATCATTACAGTATTGTTTTTGGCCAAAAATTTTGTTCAAAATTTAACAATTTTAGAACAAATTTTGCTGCCACGCGTTTCATACCCAAAACATTCGAAAAAATTTCATGGGATGAGCCAATCGATATACCAACATCATCAGCGACTTCTCTGATGGTTTATAACCATTTCTTCCACTTTTTTCATGTTTTTATCGGTTGTTAATGTGCTTGTGCGTTCGGGGCGTTCGTCATCTTCAACGTCTTCACGGCCATCTTGGAAACTCTTATACCACTTGTAAACTCTTGTTTTACTTATAGCAGACTCACTATAGGCCTTTGTTAACATTTCACAGAATTTATTTCATTTTTTAAGCAAAATTGGATACAAATTCTTTGATCCTTTTCTTTTAACCAACGAAAATCGCCGAGCTCATAAAACACGTCTAACCTTAGCGGCTGCCACAGACAAAGTAAACAATAAAAACAGCTAAAGTTTTTATCATACTTCGGGGGCATGAATACCAACATAATAAAGAAAATTTTATGACAACTGGACCCTCCGAACCCGCGAAATTTAACAATTCCCGTTATTTTCCGAACACACCTCGTATCTTGAATGAATTGGGTAAATATAAATAATTTTAATAGCTTTCGAACAAAAACTCTTTGCACTTGGTTGAAAAAAGAAACATTCAAGAGATTTTGTATTTGTTTTCAAGAGAACTATACTTCTTTCACTAAGAACTTTAATCTTCAAGCAATAAATACTCTTTTATGCTAAAATATTGTTTCTTGCCGCCAATAATTTTTAAACTACAAATTTAAAAATTTTGAAGTTTAAAAATTGATTTTTTTTTACGAAAAATGAATATTTTGTGGATTCGACGTTTGAAAAAAAATTGTTATACTCCCGGCCCTGATGCTGTACTGTAATAGATTTTTATTTTAATTACACATAATATTAAGTAAAAAGCATTCATTTGTCCATCAAAACATATTTTTCACTTGTCAGCACGATTTTTTACGTTTTAATTGGTTTTCAATTTCATTTGCAAATTAATACATGCCAAAGAAAATTTAACGCTTCGAATATTCAGTACTTTTATATGGATTATGAAAGGTTTTAATTCAAAGTCGGGACATGGTTTAGAGACCGTTTAAATTCTCTATACGCCGCAAAATTGGATATTTTAATAACTAAGATTTAAGTTTAAAGTCCAGCTTTCAAAATATTACGATTTTAGGCTTTTAAATCCTGTATAATACTTTTTGATTATAAATTGTTTTGAGATTAAAATTTTTTAAACTATTTTGGTAGAAAATGTTTTATATGTGTTTTTATTTTGTCTCGACATTTTTTTTAATACTAAAAAATTGTGTTACCCCGTGATATTTAATAAAACTAAATGAGTTTGACCTACACTTTTATTGTGTTTTGATCTTTCATGATTAAGTACATATTACAGCTCAGGTTTAAGATTTTTAACCGCAATTAATTATTTTTTACAATGTTTTAAAAGTCTAAAACCTATCCTCCGTGACTGTTACTCTTTCTAGGTTAACCTATATGTTTTCAAGTATCTGAGGTAGTAAAAGCATACTGAAAATTTCAGTTCACTAAGTAAATTAAACACATCCAAAGCAATCGAATCAAATATAAAATATTATTAAAAATTAAATGAAATAATTTTTATAACCGTTTATGTAGGTGTTACAAAAATTGATTCTATCCTCCGTGAACCTGTTTTTTCTTTAAATTTTATGCATTTTTGCCATTTTGAGGTGTCTTCTTACTTTTAAAAATGTCTTCGACTGATGTTGCCCTTTGTACTTTACTTCTTGTGACGTTTAAAACACTTGCCACGTAATACTGTGACCGTCCATCCTGGATTAAATTAATGGCTCTGGCAACATCAGTCGGAGACATATCCATTTTTTAAAGTAAGAAGACAACTCAAAATTTAAACATTAATTTGCAAAAAACAATTTGATAGCTTTTGAAAGCCGTGTATGACATGTCCAAGTATGGGATGATTCAACAAAACTGTCACTGTCATTCTCCATAGCCTATGAATGGACCATAGCAACCTTAGTTCTTCATATAGAAAAATATTGGAAATTGCAATGTTTTTTAAAAAAATCCATATTTTCCACAAAAATAAATATATCGAGGTGAACCAAAAACAAAACAGTTAAGAATAGATGTGACTTGATAAATAAAACTTAATTTAGAACAATATACGGTTTTGCCACTCTACAGAGTGTCTTAAACTTATGGTAAAAAACATGCTTTTGTTTAAACCTGTATATTATAAACGTACGTCTATTTTTTAGTAATTTTTTAAAATGTGAGCGATTTTCCATTAATTTATCTACAATATTCTTTAATATTCGTTTAAATCCGACAACAAATAAAAAAGTTATTTGCGATTGAAATTCATCGAAAATTTTTGTGGATCGATTATTTTGCCTGTGACTGTTTTGGATGGGCCACCCTGTATTTAAACTGTTGATTCATGAGCCACCCCTGATAATACCGCCATATAGGGATTCCTGCCATCGTTAATTGATTAATTAGCAAAAAACAAACATCATATCGATTTTTTTTATGTATTCATTCGCTTGTACATAATGAAATGAACATTTCCCTTGCTTTTACTGCTAGGCCAGAGCAAATGTGCTTAAAATTAATGGTACGTTTTGAGGTAGATCGTAAAGTCGGCCGACCTCGTTAAACTTAATGCCCATTTACACTTAATTCGACTCCGTTATGTCATAATTAATGATTATATTTATTGTTTTTCGGGTTTTCGGCTTAATCCTCTTACCACTTTAAATCGTAAAGTCGCGTTTTGTTTTGTGGAGGTTTTTTATTTAGGTAGGCATTGTAAAATTCAGCAAAATACAACGGGATCACCGTAAACAGGGGCGCACAGGTTTATCCGAGGAAAAAATTTAATAAAAAAAAATTTTTTTTTGAAAATTTATAAAAACATTTAAAATTATAAAAAAATAGTGCATGCATGCATTAATTAATCAAAAGGAAATGTACAACATGTTGTACATTTCCTTTTGATTAATTTGTAAGGATTTAAGGAGTTATAAATGGGTGAATACGAGGTGTGTTCAGAAAATATCGGGAATTTTCGTTTTTTGAAACAAATATTTATTTATTCGTCTACATTAATGTTGTCGCCTTCAAAATAGTCCCCATTGGATATTATGCACATGTGCCAGCTCTTCTTCCAATACTCGAAACACTTCTAAAACTCGATCTTTGGGATAGCCTTTAGTTCTTTCAGCGATGCGCTTTTAATTTCATCTATGCTTGCAAAACGACGGCCCTTTAAGGTTCTCTTTATTTTTGGGAATAGGAAAAAGTCAGACAGAGGCATGTCTGGCGAATATGGAGGCTGGGGCATCATTACAGTATTGTTTTTGGCCAAAAATTTTGTTCAAAATTTAACAATTTTAGAACAAATTTTGCTGCCACGCGTTTCATACCCAAAAAATTCGAAAAAATTTCACGGGATGAGCCAATCGATATACCAACATCATCAGCGACTTCTCTGATGGTTTATAACCATTTCTTCCACTTTTTTCATGTTTTTATCGGTTGTTAATGTGCTTGTGCGTTCGGGGCGTTCGTCATCTTCAACGTCTTCACGGCCATCTTGGAAACTCTTATACCACTTGTAAACTCTTGTTTTACTTATGGCAGACTCACTATAGGCCTTTGTTAACATTTCACAGAATTTATTTAATTTTTTAAGCAAAATTGGATACAAATTCTTTGATCGCCGAGCTCATAAAACACGTCTAACTTTAGCGGCTGCCACAGACAAAGTAAACAATGAAAACAGCTAAAGTTTTTATCATACTTCGGGGGCATGTATACCAACATAATAAAGGAAATTTTTTTTGACAACCGGACCCGTTATTTTCTGAACACACCTCGTATAACAGTGAGAAATTTTATGAACGAAAAATTTAAATTTAATTTTCAGGAAATCTTACGCAACAGTTAACAGACTTTTAAAATAATCCCAATAATGTGATTGAATTTAAATGAGCTGCACTTTCCTGAAAAACATCCTAAAAATTTGAATTCTTCCGCTTATGGAAAATGGAAAAGTTCTTAATAATTCATAAGAGAGTGGTGGAATATAAATCATGGAAATATCTTCGATTATAATTCGACAGAAATGACAGAAGTTACTTAAAGGTGCGGTGCCTAGGCATTCGTGTATTATTAATTGGTTTTCTACAACTACAAGGGGTTTTATAACTTTTTTAAACATTGCATTGCATAAAATAATCTAGGACGTACGTTTTCCAGGGCACATCTGATTATAATTTTTTGCATATTTTGCATACCTACTGAAATTGACCGAGGATGTCGCATTCGAATTTATCGTTTGACCCATTTTTTTATATGGGCATTGAAAAGCAAAAATAGGGACATAAAAACTAAAGAAAAAGGGATCATCGTATTGTGGTAATAGAAGGACATAATCCCCTTAAAACAATTGCCGGGAAAATTATGATTATTGTGGACATATTTTGTCTCGAACAACAAAACATAAATAAAAATAGTCTGGGGAGGTATTAATCAAGTAGCGACCTAATTCAGAACAAATGAACGATTTTTCATGATTAATCCTATACAAGGTGTACCAAAATAAATTTTTATTATTATTTTAATATTATGTTGTTAAGATCTTGTGGTTGGAATATGTCAAACATATACTGGGTGTCTTGATAAAAAATTATTTAAGCATAAAAGAGTATTTATTGCTTAAAGAAAAAGTACTTTCACGTGGAGTTGGAATCATTAAAACTCAAGATTTTTAAATAAATGAAATTTAATTAATTTTTTGTAATGTTTTTGAAGGTAAGGTATTTTTAGGTGAATTCGTAAGTTTACTACCCATGGGTGCACGTTAACTTACAGTTTTGCAAAAACAAAACTTAATTTATTGTTTACGAATATATTTTTTGGATAAAACAAGAAAGCAGAAGAAAAAAAGGTGTCAACTTTTGATCCAATTCAATAAAGTTCTCATCGGAATAAACAAAACGAATCAATCATTATTTTTTCCTTGTCAACTGGTAAATTAAACTTATTTCTCTCTACTAAAGTCGAGACCCCGTTTTTGTCATATGTATATTGATTGATTTTTGTAATACACATGTCGACAGTGATAAGTATAATATAAAACTGTTTCTGATAGGACAAGGCTGTATTTATAACTCCTTAAATCCTTACAAATTAATGAAAAGAAAATGTACAATCGGTGGCACTATTTTATTATAATTTAAAATGTTTTTATAAATTTACAAAAAATGTGTATGGGTGAATCTCACGAAATGGTGATATTTAATTATATCTATACATATACGAGGTGTGTTCAGAAAATAACGGGAATTGTTAAATTTCGCGGGTTCGGAGGGTCCAGTTGTCATAAAATTTTATTTATTATGTTGGTATACATGCCCCCGAAGTATGATAAAAACTTTAGCTGTTTTCATTGTTTACTTTGTCTGTGGCAGCCGCTAAGGTTAGACGTGTTTTATGAGCTCGGTGATTTTTCGTTTGTTAAAAGAAATGGATCAAAGAATTTGTATCCAATTTTGCTTAAAAAATTAAAAAAATTCTGTGAAATTTTAACAAAGGCCTATAGTGAATCTGCTATAAGTAAAACAAGAGTTTACAAGTGGTATAAGAGTTTCCAAGATGGCCGTGAAGACGTTGAAGATGACGAACGCCCCGAGCACAAGCACATTAACAACCGATAAAAACATGGAAAACGTGGAAGAAATGGTTATAAACCAACAGAGAAGTCGCTGATGATGTTGGTATATCGATTTGCTCATCCCATGAAATTTTTTCGAATGAATTGGGCATGAAACGCGTGGCAGCAAAATTTGTTTTAAAATTGTTAAAATTTGAACAAAATTTTTGGCCAAAAACAATACTGTAATGATGCCCCAGCCTCCATATTCGCCAGACAAGCCTCTGTCTGACTTTTTCCTATTCCCAAAAATAAAGAGAACCTTAAAGGGCCGTCGTTTTGCAAGCATAGATGACATTAAGAGCGCATCGCTGAAAGAACTAAAGGCTATCCCAAAGATCGAGTTTTAGAAGTGTTTCGAGTATTGGAAGAAGAGCTGGCACAAGTGCATAATATCCAATGGGGTCTATTTTGAAGGCGACAACATTAATGTAGACGAATAAATAAATATTTGTTTCAAAAAACGAAAATTCCCGATATTTTCTGAACACACCTCGTAATTATAGCGTTATTTTTACGTAAATTTGTGGTATTTATATTGTTTTATTACGTTATTCTCCTAGTAGATAAAAAAGTTTATTATGTAGGTAAAATAACGAATTAAAACATTTCCCAAATTTGGTAATTTTTCGTATCTATACCGTTATAAAATCGTTTTGGTTAACCGTAAAAATACTTTAAAGTTGACTTAGTAGTTAATTTGGTTATTATTTGGTTAAAATTAAGAAAAATGTATAAGTAGCAAAATAACTATTTTCAGAAATGACCAACTCAAAACCAAACCAACACAACGTCTCAGAAGGAGAAGACACGTCATTAAGATCTCTAAGCTCTGAAGATGTATCCCAAGCACCCAGAGGCTACTGTTGCGCTAAATCCAATAACCCCGCAGATGGGCGGGGTAGGAAACTGCACCTGTTCCAGATGTTATCGCTACCTTTTATACCGATATTTGCACTTATAGTGCAAACCTCGTTTTTATTGAACACCATCATGAACACCAGGCATGAGGTTATGGAGATAGAGAGTCAGGTAAGGATAAAAAGTTAAATAACCTAAAAATACAATAAAAAAAATTAATATAAATTTGAATCTTGTGATTTATGTAGTTTTTACGGAAATCGATAAAAATCATAACATTTTGGTCCAAACTTTCAACAAGTGTGCCAAAAGTTAAATAACCTAAAAATATTAAATAAAAAATCTAATTGTATTAATATAAATTTGAATCTTCTGATTTATGTAGTTTTTACGGAAATCAATAAAAATTATTAGATTTTGGTTCAAACTTTCAACAAATTTTCCAAAAGGTATAAAACTTATATAAAATTAAAAAAAAATCTCACTGTATTAATATAAATTTAAGTCTTGTAATTTATGTAGTTTTTACAGAAATCAATGAAAGTTATAACATTTTTTCCCAAACTTTAAAAAAGTTTTCCAAAAGTTAAATAACCTGAAAATATAATAAAAAAAAATCTCACTCTACTGATATAAATTTGAGTCTTGTGATTTATGTAGTTTTTACGGAAATCAATAAAAATTATTATATTTTTGTCTAAACTTTAAACAAGTTTTACAAAAGTTTAATGACCCAAAAATATAATTATAAAAAAATCTGACTGCATGAATATAAATTTGAATCTTGTGATTTATGTATTTTTTACGGAAATCAATAAAAATTATTACATTTAGAATCAAACTTTCAACAAGTTTTCCAAAAGTTAAAAAAACCTAAAAATAAGTATAATTAAAAAAAAATCTGATTTTATTAATTTAAATTTTAATCTTGTAATTTATGTAGTTTTTACAGAAATCAATAAAAGTTTTAACATTTTTTCCCAAACTTTAAAAAAAAATTCCAAAAGTTAAATAACCTAAAAATATATTTTAAAAAAAATCTGACTATTAATATAAATATGAATCTTGTGATTTATGTAGTTTTTACGAAAATCATTAAAAATTATTACATTTTGTTCTAAACTTTCAACAAGTTTTCCAAAAGTCCAAAAGTTAAATAACCTAAAAATATAGTAAACAAAATCAGACTCTTTAAATATAAATTTGAATCTTGTGATTTATGTAGTTTTCACAGAAATCAATAAAAAATATTACATTTTGGTTTAAACAAGTTTTCCATATAGTTAAATAACCTAAAAATATAATTAAAAAAAATCTGAATTTATTCATTTGAATCTTGTGATTTATGTAGTTTTTACGGAAATCAATAAAAATTATTACATTTTGGTCCAAACTTTCAACAAGTTTTCCAAAAGTTAAATAACCTAAAAATATAATTAAAAAAATTTGACTGTATTAATTTGAATCTTGTGATTTATGTAGTTTTTACAGAAATCAATAAAATTTATAACATTTTGGTCCAAACTTTCAACAAGTTTTCCAGTCGAAGCCATCAATAGAGTCGACAGGGTTATAAGGGTTTAGTAACAATAAATTAAATAAAAGAGACACGGTAAAACAAAAAAGGGGGAAAAGTTGGCAAGCCAATGTCAATATATGTTTTGCGACCGTTTGCACCTCAATATAACTTGTTTGTCTTTGTTTGGCGGGACTTCTCTTATCGATAGAAAACTCCAAGTACACTTTTCTAAATATTTATGGATGCGTCAGATTTTCCCGTAACATGCAAAGGACTTTTTTGCCGCTGTTTTATACGGTTTTACCGAGAAAACATAAAAAACAGAGTTGGCGACAAATATTCACCGTTTTATTGCGGAAAATCATAGAAATCGCGTTACCTTAGATTACTTTATCGATTCCGTCAATTGTCAAGGTTATTCTGGCAACTGTCATAAAAATTCAAATATCTTGACTTGATTTGTCAAATAGTAAAGTCGGATAATTTAAGTAATAGAGCAAAAGAGTTTTCATACAATGTCTTCAAACTTTAATATATGATTTTGTAAGGCATCAGACACATTCACAAATAATTTTAGATTTGTTTACAGCACAGATTCTAAGAAATTTAAATGACTTCAATTTTAAATGTCGTGCTGCCAACTTAAGAAAAACAAAAATATGACAGGTTTAAACCTTAATTTTGCCATTTTAACAACAAATTATTAATTTATTTTCTTACTTATTCACAACGTTGTTTTTAGTTTTTAATGATACTTTAATTTGTAATAAAGTATCAATTTGTTAATTAAAATACAACGTTTTATTTTTGCTACATTGGCACTGCATGCTATCACAGCCTACTGTTATTTAACAAACTCTTCAAATAGAGATACTACCCTAACCAAAATCTGTGTTTTATTTGCTATGGATTTTCTATCTTGGTTTACAGAACAAAGCAAAGCGTAATAAAACCTTTTAAAACAAATCACTGCAGTACATGGTACGTTTTCTGAATGTTTATACACCCTTATTATAGATCAACTTTAAACATACATACCACATGATTTTTCTTTAGTTCAGTCTTTTAAAATAAACGCAATCTTAAATTCACCTTAGTTTAGTCACTTTAGTCACTAAATGTTTACTTAAACAATTAAACTTTGGGTTTATTTCACGTCTTTTCGCACTAAAAATCAATAAAACTTGTCGATAACATACCAGCCGCATTTGTTTTTAAAACTGTCAAGATTTGGCTGCGCGCGCATATATATTTATGCAGCTTTTGCACATTTTGTTGATTTTTAATATTTTGAAGCTTCTTAGAAGCTCCGATGTTAGTTTTTTTTATTTTAGACTGTTGGCAACACTAATTATCCTATCAAAGATGTGTTAAAAACCGTCTTCCAGGGTTTGTTTATCAAAATTATAATATAAAATGTGAATAAAATTATAAGAAGTTAATGTCAACTGTAAAACACAAACAAAAACTACGTTTTATTTAATTGTGACATTTTGCTTTAAGTCAATTGCGCCAACCTGGTAAAATAAATTAAAAAACTTGTTTTTTAAAGATTTATTCAATTTTATTATGATCGAAATGGGCAAAGTAGTATGAAAAATACAATATAGGTACTATTTCTGTGAATTTCGGGATAAATTAGTAAGTAGTTGATTATTTTTTATGGTTTTTTACAATCCACACAACAAGGTCTTCTAGGTATATCGTTTTGCGCATACTAAAAATCAGGAAGTCTAACGGCGGCCATTTTTATGTTGTTTACAATTCTTGTGCTTTGGGTTTGTGCTTTATATACAAATTAAAAATTAAATGAGGACAACTATTTTACTCCTCTTTTGGTAAAATAAACCTTTTTCTATCAGGGCTGTCATCAAACTGTCAAATGTCAATTTTAAGGTTATTTTACCATAACCCACAAATTTAATAGATAAATGTTTATTTTTTACAAAAGAGGAGTAAAATGGTTACACTTTAAGGCCTCTTTTAAGGCATAAAAATGGCCGCCGTTAGAATCTGTGCAGTATGCGCGAAACGAGAAATAATGAAATATTAAATACAAAATTTAATTAAAAATTTTGAGAATTTTGTAAAATTTCAAATTTTTGTAAATTTTGAAATTTTTTTAATAATTTTGAAAATTTGTCCTACCATTTTTCAAATTTTTCCTACTGTGCCAATTTTCACCACCATTCTTTAAATGTATGCCACTGTGCAAATTTGTCCTACCATTTTTTAAATGTATCCTACAATATTTTAATTTACGCCACTGTGCAAAATTATCCAATCATTTTATAAATTTATGCTTGTGTGCGAATTTTTTCCTAATTTTTTTTTATTTACTCATTTAAGGGGCAAATTTTTGTAAATTTTGAAAAACGAATACGATTTTTAATAATTTTAGAAATTTGTCCTACCCTTTTTTAAATTTATCTTACTGTGCGAATTTTCCCACCATTTTTTAAATTTTTAAAATGTGCAAATTTCAAATTTTTGTAAATTTTGAAAAACAAATACGATTTTTCATAATTTTAGAAATTTGTCCTACACTTTTTTAAATTTATACTACTGTGCGAATTTTTCCCACCATTTTTTAAATGTATGCCACTGTGCAAATTTGTCCTACTATTATTTACAATTTTTTTAATTTACGCCACAGTTATCCTACTGTGCAAACTTATCCCACCATTTTTTAAATTTTTCCTATTGTGCGAATTTTTTCTTCAATTTTTTTTATTTATTCATGTAGGGGCAATTTTCTATTATCCAATTTTGTTCGAATATGAGCAGTTTTCATAAATTTAATGAGACAGTATACTATAGTAAGCAAAAATATTTTTTTAGGTAACTAAAGCAGAAGATTTAGGTAAAGTAGTGACTAGGTTGCAGCTGGAACGATTTGATGTGGCATTTTACGTGTACACAGAAAGTCACCATCAAAGGTAATAAAGCATTTTTTTTTAAATAATAAATTAAAATTAAAACCTCATTACAGAACCAATGTGACCAAGCGCTTCCAACTGACAGACGACGCTTTGCAAAACATGTCCAGCTGGCCATTGGTATCCCTGATCAGAGATGGAAAAATAGTTTACCTAAACAAAACAACTTTCCAGGAAAACCTAAAGGAGTTCCGAGAAAACCTTTCCAAGAACGAAACGAAAATGAACGATGTTCTAAACTGGTATACGGCGGTTAACGCCGCCATGTTGGAACATCTGACCAGCGAGATTAAGGAGACTGACAACAGCGGAGTTTGGAGGTAGGTTGTCAAAGAAATCTTCCAGCAAACACAGATAAAGGTTCTATAATGGTTCTTTATCTATTTTGCGTTCATAATGACTTCATTATAACACCGCTTTCGGTGCTTCAATGAGATACTTATCCCACCCAAAATTTTGTTTTTATAGGTTGGCTACTTTAAACAGCATAATATTTCGCATATTGGTTATAATATTTTTATGATTTTTCTAGTACTTACGAGACTTTTCTGTCAATAAATTTTGTTTAACACCAAAGAAAATTATTTTTTTCTTCTTTAACATTAACAGCCGCTTATTGTAAATAAGTTAATTAAGGACGGCATGGCGAATCGATTTTGACATTAACTGTCAAACCAATGACTGTGATACCAACTATCTAAAGTAAAATTCGACCAAATTAAATTTAAGGTATAAAATTATTTTTTTTTATAGAATATTTGCGAAATAGATAAAATAGCATAAAGAAACTCATGTCATAAGACAATTGACGTCTTATGACATTAGTTCTTTAAAATACTATTAATGTATAAGTATTTGTAATACAAGAGAACTCTTTTAAGCTAAAATATTATTTCTTGCCGCTAAAGACAGTTGACTAATTTAGTTTACATTTTTTCAGTGTATAATTGTGGCTTTATCTTATTTCAGGTTTTTACTGTCCTTCAAAAACCTTCTAAAAAGTATAGAGAACATTGGCATATCCAGCGTATATGGGGTCAATTATTTTGGTAAAGGAAAACTGAGATCCGAGTACTACGAAAAATTTATAAGGCATGATGCTATAGCTAAGGATTTGTTAAATACATCGTTAAATTATGTTGTAAAAATGCGAAGTGATTATGAACAATTCTCCCGTTCAATGCCGAATTATGGAAAAATTAAGTACCAGTAAGTCAGATATACCTACTTAATGTGCCACTACTTCTTGACCTGCTAAACTCAAAAAAAAACATTTCGTTGATATATTAATTACTGAGATTTTTTTACCTATACACGTAGAGAAATGTATAGAAAATTTTAGATAGTAAAAAAAATATAGTAAAATTTACTTTAACAAATTTTTAGGGTAACAATATTATATATTCGTCAATACAATATTAAGATTGTAATATAAAATTTTATTATACAATTTTAGTAAAGATTACAACACCAATATTACTAAATCACAAATGTATAAATATATTTTAATTTTTAATATGTTCGTATAGTAAATTGATTTTACTATCTACAAATAGTAATATTTACTATATGATTTAATCAAATGTAAGGTGTACATCTAATATTACACATTAATAAAAAATATAGTAAAAATAAAGATACTTTTATGTTTAAGGTATATAAACAATATATTTAAATATAATGTACAATATAGTAACTCATGACATTTTAAACGTTCAATTTTCTTAGTTTCTTGAATAAACTTTTTTGACCCATTACTGGTAATACTTATAAGAAAGAATTGAACCTACTTGGTTGCATAGTATGTACCGATTGCGGCAAAGGCCACGTCGCGACGCGTCGTTAGACGGTGTGGATCACGTGATGTTCTTACATCTCGCCTCTGTTGGCTTACCAACCATGTTATATAAGCTCAGGTATTTATTTGTTTTGGGTGTGTTCCACTACTACAAGTTGCTCGACAGTGTCAAAACACCTGTCTGTCGGTATTTGAAGTTGATGGAACGCACTCAAAACGAAAAACTTTGGCGAGGTGTAGGTTCAATTCTTTCTCATAACATTTTTGTGTATTAAAAAGTACAATAAAAATGTTACAATTTTTAATTGTTAACATATAAAATATTCAATTCGATAATATTTTAAAATTTACTATACTTATTAGTAATGGAAAAAATCTAATTATAATAAGAATAAAAACAAATTTTTTCGATGTTTTTTGAGTTTCAGTGAAAAACAAAAAAATCTAATATTATTTTGCAGAACCGACATTATAATTCAAAACAAAAACCGTACCCCAAATTACAACGAATCATTGGTTTACTTTGAAGCTATAGCTGGCTACACAGACGAGTTACGAAGGCTGCAAAGGGACTTAAGAATCACCATAAGGTTTTTATCGCGTTCAAATTACAGTTCAAAGCCAATCTAGGAACACTCTGTGTTTTTCTTTCCTAGGGAATACGTCGATGAAAATCTACAGGAAGCTGCTAGTCGCGAAGCTATAGGGATAGCAACTTTGGTGGGGGTGCTGGCCGTATCTCCCGTGATAATTTGGCTGGTGAGGAATGCAGTTGCGACGATACAGCTTTACGCAGCCAATCTGGCCAAAAAAGCTAAGGAGTTGAAAAGGGAGAAGAAAAAAAGTGATTTTCTGCTGTTCCAAATGCTTCCACCCAGTGTGGCAACGCAGCTGAAGCAAACTAGACAGGTAAATGATTTTTAGAAAGTCTTCTGTCAAGAATTTACTTGTAAGTAATATAAAACTCGTTTTAAAGGCACAAATATCCTAAAATGTCATAAATGATTTAACAATGACAAAAACACAATTAAAATGTCGAATAACACTTAAGAATGTCAAAAACACAATTTAAAATGTAAAACATTTTTTAGAATGTTAAAAACAAACTTTATATAAAAAAACACAGTTGTGTTTTTCATTGTAAAATGTTAAAAAACCATTAAAAATGTAAAACAAATTTAAAAAACAAAATTTTAAAAATTGTTTAGTTTTAAAAACAATTTATCAAGTCAAAAAACACTCTAGAATGTTAAAAAAACGTATAAATATGAAATGTCTAAAATTTAAAATGTCAAACACTCTAGAATGTTAAAAAAACGTATAAATATGAAATGTTTAAAATTTAAAATGTCAAACATTTAGTATAATGTAAAAAATACAATTTACAAGGTTAAAAACACAATTTAAAATATCAAACATTCGCTAGAATGTCAAAAACACACTTTACCTATATGAAAAAACACAGTTTAAAACATTAGAATTTCAAAAAAAACTTATTGAAAATTAAAAAACATTTTATAAAGTCAAAAAAATTGTATACCTACAAAAAAACTGTCAAAAACCAATTTTAAATTTATAAAAACAATTTATCAAGTCAAAAAACGCTCTAGAATGTTAAAAATACGTACAAATATGAAATGTCTAAAATTTAAAATGTCAAACATTTATTATAATGTAAAAAACACAATTTACAATGTCAAAATGTCGATGTTAAAAACATTTTAGAATATTAAAAACACATTTTAGAAAGTCAAAAATATATTTTATAACGTCAAAAATAAACTTTATATAAAAACAGATTTAAAAATGTCAAAACGCAATAAAAAATATTAAACAATTTAAAAAATAAAATTTATAAAAACACAATTAGTCAAAATTTCAAATGCCAAATATTTATTGTAATGCAATGTCAAAACGACATAAAAATGTCAAAAACACACTTCATATAAAAAATTCAAAACACATTTTAGAATGTTATAACAAAATAAAGGCACAAATATCCTAAAATGTCATAAATGATTTAACAATGACAAAAACACAATTAAAATGTCGAATAACACTTAAGAATGTCAAAAACACAATTTAAAATGTAAAACATTTTTTAGAATGTTAAAAACAAACTTTATATAAAAAAACACAGTTGTGTTTTTCATTGTAAAATGTTAAAAAACCATTAAAAATGTAAAACAAATTTAAAAAACAAAATTTTAAAAATTGTTTAGTTTTAAAAACAATTTATCAAGTCAAAAAACACTCTAGAATGTTAAAAAAACGTATAAATATGAAATGTCTAAAATTTAAAATGTCAAACACTCTAGAATGTTAAAAAAACGTATAAATATGAAATGTTTAAAATTTAAAATGTCAAACATTTAGTATAATGTAAAAAATACAATTTACAAGGTTAAAAACACAATTTAAAATATCAAACATTCGCTAGAATGTCAAAAACACACTTTACCTATATGAAAAAACACAGTTTAAAACATTAGAATTTCAAAAAAAACTTATTGAAAATTAAAAAACATTTTATAAAGTCAAAAAAATTGTATACCTACAAAAAAACTGTCAAAAACCAATTTTAAATTTATAAAAACAATTTATCAAGTCAAAAAACGCTCTAGAATGTTAAAAATACGTACAAATATGAAATGTCTAAAATTTAAAATGTCAAACATTTATTATAATGTAAAAAACACAATTTACAATGTCAAAATGTCGATGTTAAAAACATTTTAGAATATTAAAAACACATTTTAGAAAGTCAAAAATATATTTTATAACGTCAAAAATAAACTTTATATAAAAACAGATTTAAAAATGTCAAAACGCAATAAAAAATATTAAACAATTTAAAAAATAAAATTTATAAAAACACAATTAGTCAAAATTTCAAATTCCAAATATTTATTGTAATGCAATGTCAAAACGACATAAAAATTTCAAAAACACACTTCATATAAAAAATTCAAAACACATTTTAGAATGTTATAACAAAATAAAAAATGTCAAAAATTCATTTTAAAAACAAAATTTATCAAGTAAAAAAGATAATTAAAAATACGGTTTAAAAAGTGAAAAGTATACCTAAAATGTCAAAATTTTAAACATTTATTACAATGGAAAAAGACACTTTATTTGAAAAACATATCTTACAATGTTGAATGTTTATGTATATTAAAAACACAATTTAAAATGTCAAACACTTTATATAAACAAAAAACAGTTTAAAACATTTAATTTTAAATGTAAAAAAGTATACAAACATTTAAGTCAAAAACAAAACCTGAAGAGTCTAAAACTTAAGAATATCAACAACAATTTTAAAAAAGTCAAGTACACGTTTAGAATGTCAAAAGGCTTGAAAGTGTTAAAAACACAATTGAAAATATCAAACACACACTAAAATATCAAAACTCACATTACACAATAAAACAGTTTAAAACATTTTAGAAAGTCAAAAACATTTTATAATGTCAAAAACACAATTTAAAAAGTCAAAAATAAACTTGATATAAAAACACATTTTAAAATGTTAAAAACACAATAACAAATGTCAAACATACATTTAATTTAAAAAAAACTAGATTTATAAAAAATATTTTACAATGTCAAAACGCTTAAATGTTTTAAAAAAATTTAAAATGTCAAACAGTCAAAACAGGTCAAAGAAAGTTAAAAACACAACACAAAAACAAAATAAAAAATGTCAAAAATTTATTAATAATAATATTTGATGTTCAAATCACAATTTTATTTCTTAATCGATACCTACGTAAAACGTGCAATTTTTAAAATTGGGAAGTGAGGTTAGATTCTTCTGACAGATGTGGAATTTTTTTATTGGTCCAAGGTAGTAAATAAAAAACTTTTACGGCCCAAGCCACCTTTGGTTTAAATCATTTTTAAGTGCCTAGACCACAATTAATTATTTTATTAACGAATATAAATTTATGTTAATAATTTTTTTAGGTACCAGCGGAATATTATGCTTCTGTAACTATATACTTCAGTGATATTGTTGGGTTTACAGAAATAGCAGCTGTAAGCACGCCGTTAGAGGTATTTTTGATGACTTTCCCTAGCTTCAATTTTTTTTAAACATATTATTACAGGTGGTAACTTTCCTCAATAAAATCTACAAACTTTTCGACGCCAGGATAGAATGTTACGACGTTTATAAAGTCGAAACCATAGGTGACTCCTATATGGTGGCATCAGGACTACCAGTGAAAAACGGTATTTAGCAAGTAACTCAAAAAATAGCAAAGTTGATTTTGTTGTTTAAGGCAACAAACACGTGACAGAGATCGCCAGCATGGCCTTGGATCTTCTGGCGGGCTCCACGCAGTTTAAAATACCTCACAGGAAATCGGAAAGGTTGCAGATCAGATCTGGCGCCCATACCGGTCCGGTTGTGGCCGGTATAGTGGGCTCCAAAATGCCCAGATACTGTTTGTTCGGCGATACGGTCAATACAGCGTCCAGAATGGAGTCTACAGGCGAAGGTAAGACCCATATATGGGTCTATCAATTGAGATGGAATATACTACTAACATTTCTTTTAGCCTCCAAAATTCATATTAGTTTGGAGATGAAGAAAGCACTGGATAGTATAGGGGGTTACAGAACGGAGCATAGAGGTCTGGTTGAAGTAAAGGTAATGGAAGTTTTATTTGGTACACCTATGTACATAGGTAGCATGATCCCCTTATTATTATTTCAGGGCAAAGGTCTTTTGGACACCTATTGGTTGACCTGTAAAGAAGGAGGGATGAATAGAACAGTAGAAATGGAGACACCAGCCTATTTCCAGGTACACCTCAGAAAAAATGTTTTCAACCTAAATTCAAATTTTTGTGCATGTTTTAGGAGGACGAGGATAACGAGCCAGTATTTATAAAAAGGCTACGCAGTGATACCTATTACTAATAAAAATACTAAATGTGTTAAATGTCATGTATGTTTTAAAGTTTACATGTTTAGCTGATAGTGATGAATGTTTGTGAAATAAATTTTTTTAAATTAGGCGTTTTTGTTCCAAGTATTTCACGTCTTTATCTGTCACAGGTTGCTTGAAGCTTTCTTCAAGATTAAGATGCTTGTTGAAGGCACACCAATCTATTAGAAGACTTGGATCAGCATCTCTATCTAAACCCCACCATAGCTCACTCTAAAACAATCATCACAGTGACGTTTATAACATTCAAAGAGGTTATTGTTACCTTAACATTCACTGGAATGACATCTGGAGGAGGGCATATTCTCCTATCCAAAAAGTTCAACACATCCATATAGTAAACATTACATTGTTCATCCTTTTTCGATACCTCCAGTATTTTATCAATGAGGTTGTTATCGAAAGGTATTCTGCAAGCTTTAAGAACGGTATACACATCTTTTTGGGATAGAAGACCGGTTCTTTCAGGGTCCCTCTGCATCAAGTACTCCCGTAAGCGCACCCAATCATCCCACAGAAACCTTTTGAGCTCAGTTAACGCCAAGGCTCTCACTTTTTCCCTGTCGTATCGTTCCTTGGTGCAAACGGCCGAAAAAGCTCTGGCTATGGTGATCATTTCGTGTTCTGTGAAATCCTTTCCCATGATTCTACACAACTTCGACCTAAAAGTATGTCATATCATCATCATCTAGATGATGAAAAACCTAAATGATATAGAAACACTGTTACCTTAGGGCATCATATGAGATCGTGGGTGCTTCATTCGGTATATTTTCAGCAACGAAATCCTTGTAGATTGGCACCAATTTATCCCTAACTTTATCCATGATGGCCTCAATGTTAGCCTTGGGATACTAAACAAAAAAATACATCAATCTACTTACTAATACTTAATTAATAACTTACTATTGTTGGGTTTAACTCCATGAACCTCAAAGCGTACTCATCGGCGTTGATCAGGACGAATTGGAAGCCGTTTATGATCAACGTTGCCCCTATGAACATGTGTTGGGGTGTGTAATACAAAGGGGCTTCGCTGCTGAATACCCTTTGACCTGGCAGCTTAACGGGGCATCTTTGAAAGAAGCACGACGTCTTGAAACCTTGAACAAGAGTTAGTTATTTTGTTTTGACGTAAATATCATTTACCTGAATTATCTTTGGCTATTTCATTCACCTGCATGGTGTCATCGGTCAAATAGTAGGAGATGATAAATGATCTGGTGCAGTTGATATCGTTTTTGGAGACCAAGCGAGCTTCAAACCGTAGAATATGACTGTCCATACCGTCCCTATCGTAGGAGAGAAACTTTTTGAAGTCTCTATGAGGCGCTTTCGGCTGAACCGATATGCAGTTTTGCACTGTGTCCTCGTAACTCCCAAAACCATTCCACGGCGGGAGTTTACGCTCCTTCGCTATGATTTCTATTTTGTTTTTCGGGGCGTCTATTGGGATCAACTCTTCCAGACCGTAGTTCTTGGAGAAGTAGTCTTTGGTGAACATGTCGCAGTCTATGATTACTATGTTGCGACCGTAGCAGTTCAGAGTACCGCCTATGCTGAAATCTTTTTCCGAGTAGTACTCCGTAACTTCCTTTCCACAATCTAGCGGATCCACAGTGTATCTTTTGTTGAAGGATTGGCCCAAGACGTTCAGTATGGTGTTGGGTGCGTCGCATCCAGGCGCGGGTAGACCTTTGTACACTTTAGGGAGCTTGGTGCGCTTTAAAAAGCAGAAATTCGGCAACCCAGATGATTCTTCATGTTTCTCGTTGATTTCGACGGTGTCGTCAGCTAGATAGAAAAGAACTTCTAGGTTGTGGATGTAGCCGAATTGAGTCTTTCTGTCGTCCCAGTAGCACTTAAATCGTAGGACTTTTCTGTCGTTTTCCAGGAATTTCCCGCGGATGTCCACCGATCTGTTGGGTTTTTTGGGCTGCGTCCCATCCCCTTCCGTCTTCCGTTGCTCCAAGTACGGGTCGCTGGGTTCAACAATTGGATCTGGGACGGCTATGCCGCATCTGTTGAGGAAGTTCCGCGTGAATTCATCGCACTGCGTTATCTTGAACACTCTTCCGTAGAACTCGACCTCTCTGCCGATGTTAAAGTCCAGGATGTCGTAGAAATTCTCCGACATAGGGTCGGGGAACCTGATTCGGGACCGAGATATCAGAGTGCCTTGAGATATGCCGCTGTTTTTTACCTTCGGTTCTATGACCTGTATGGTGCCGTCTTCCAGGTAGAAGAAGATTTTGACTTTGCGCACTATGAAAGGCGCGGCTCGGTACTCTTGAAGGGTTTCTTGAAAAAAACCCTCGAAAACCAGAATCTATAAATGAAGTGTTTTATTTAATTACACTATGATTATCTTGTGTAGTTTGGCTCACTAAACTTGAAAATCACACTTAAAATTTTGTTTTGACGTTTTAGAGTATACTTCGAGTTCTAATTGATCGATTTGACCAAACAAGCACTTAAATCGAAGGTAATTGAGCCCTCTACAACTTTCTTTTGTATATATACAAAAGAAAGTTGCAGAGGGCTCAATTATAGTTATGGTATCGGCTCAATAGTTCGATACTGGCGATTTTATGAAGTTGAAAAAGTCCTTTTTCCATTGATAAATGTTGCTTTCGTATTCAGTTTCTCGTATGAGGGACCAAATGTAATCACCCATCATGGCTGCATCCCAGAAGCCGTGATACCGCCGCTCCATAGCCTTCATTTTCTGGTGAAACGTTCTCCGTGCTCATCACTTACGTCGCCCAGATTGTGCGGGTTATTTACGCGCTCGAACTCTCTACTTCTTTTACTCATTTTACAGTTTTTATTAACTAAATAAAACCACGATAAAAATACCTTGTTGAAATATCAAAAAATATCAGTAAAATGTTACTTTGCCAACACGAGAAACAAAAGAATTCACGTTTGCGGAGTCATGTCGAATTTAAATTTTGAATAATGTTTTCGGTGAAAAAAGTACGTAAAAACTCAAAAAATTCCAAACATGCACTTTATTTAGGTTTTCATTAAATAATAAACATATTACAAAATAAAATAAAATAAAAATCGTCAAAAAGCTGAATTTTGGTCCACTAAAAAATTCATAACTTCGTCATTTTTCCATGTATTTTTATCAACATTAGCTTGTTTTTTGGAAAAATGTCAGCTTCTCGAAAAAAAATTCAAACTGGAGTTATCTGTTTGATTTAAACCTTTCCCAGGACGATATGTAAATTTTCGACCTCAATTTTTGCCATGAAACGAATTTTTTAAGTTATTAAAATCGATAGCGTCACAAAATGTAACCAATATCAAAGTTTTAGAGGGTTCAAATACCTTCAATTTAAGGGATTGCCAAACAAAACGATCAATTAGATTTCAAGCTATACTCAAAAACATCAAAACACCTCCAATTGAGTTGAAAATTCATATTTTAAAAACGCTTCCATAAAAAAAATATGAAAATTATATTGACATACTTGTTTATCAAAACACAACCAAGCTGGGATTTCAGTCGCTTCGCCTCTAGGATATATGGAAGGATACTTATCGGATAGTATACCCAACATATTGGGCTTCACTTTTTCCTTTAGAGCTCTTATTCCAGGTCCCAAATGTTCGAACTTGGGGTCCATATTGAACTTGGTTCTGCCCAGCTGAAGATGAAAATTATTTTTTGCGTTTGTATTTTAAGGTTTTGTATGCTTACGTTACTATTAAAAGTGAACCCGGGCAAAAACGGTAAGTCTGGACTTCGGTAACACATTTTTAAACACTTCTTGTAGAAAGATTGTATAAATTGACAAGTTTTGTCAATTATTTTGTAACCAAGGGGGAAAATCAATAACAAATACATCACCACAAACACAACATTTATTTTCGGAAAAAATGTTACACAGTGATCAAATAAAATAAAATAAAAAAATCTATAAAAATAACAACAATGGGACGGATGTGAATACTTAATAATTATTAATAAGATCTTAACACTACAAACATAAAATCGAGACGTTGTTAAAAAAATATAGGCACTTGAACATTTGAACATAGATCTGTGCGAAGTCTGGCAATGCTGCCTGAGCTCCATCTAGCTAGCGCTGAAACCCGCCTTCTAGATTTACCACGCTCTGTTGAATAGTAGGCAAACTATGGCTGATATGGTGAAAGCCAGGAGTGGACTGGATGGTTTAGGGGCGGAATTGTAATCACAGAAGCCCATGTTGCAGTTGTCTACGGTGTACTGATATTTCTGCTTCAATACGTCCCAGTTGCAGAGTCCCACTTGGCATTCTGGGAACTCCACGGGCTGTTCGTTGAGGTAGAACATCACCTTGTAGCTGTTTGATCTGCACCTGGAAGAAAGTTTTTTTTCTCTCTTAAGAATAAGTCTTGGTAAGTCAGACTAATATCAAGTCAAGACGGAAGACTTTTTAAGAGAAAGTTTAAGGGCGGTCGTTGTTTAACTTTATAATAAACTTACTGGTACAAAACTGCTACCAAATTGGATGCATAAGGTAGAATGTTCGATTCCTTCCACATTCTCCTGGTTTGCTGGTAATAATTATCAGCCCTCAAAGGCTGTGGGTCCTTAGCTATACCCATGGCGGATAAAGTGGCCGCTATGGTATCCGAATGGGTGAAAAGGAAGGTAGCTTTGTTACCATCCCCATAACCATCTACCGTCTTCTGGAACCTTTCGTACATGTCTTTGAGAGGTCCGCAACCGATTTTCTGGTTGATCTCGTTTCCGTAACCGGCCTCGTAGTAACTAACCAGATCCTCCGCGTACTCCAGCAACTTGAGTTGGTTCTTGTTGAACGCCGAGCACCATGGAGACGGTTTTAGCACGTTCCAAGCCTTCTCGAATCGACACATGTCGTACATGTCGTCTACGATGCTGGCATTCAAGGTATACCGGAACCCAAGACGTTTGAAGACGTTGCTCACCAATTCGCGGTACTCTGGTCTT